ATATTCACTGCAAAATTAAATTTTAGGTCTTAGCAGTTTTCACAAGTCATGTGAAATGTAGCTCTCTATGGGATTTATAAACTTTGATTTAAAAGTTCTATTTTTACTTACAATGAGATAGCAATAAAAAAAATAGCCTCTGGAAAGATCCAGATGCCTTGCAGGAAAATTTGATTAGAAAGTCTTATAATTTCTGTATCACATGAGAAACTAGCGAAAGTGAAATTCTGTGACCCAATTTAATTTAAATTTCATTACATTTATTCCCAGGAATTAATAAAAAAAAATTTTTTTGGTACCAGGGATCAAACTCACGACCTGGTGCTTGCAAGGCAAGCACTTACGGTGTTGAGCTAAATCCCAGGCCTCAAAACTTTTTGCGTAATAATAAACTGATAACTTTTCAACACTGTAAAAAATAAAATGTTTGAGAATACAGTTTTATTGATGTCAGTGTCAGTTTTGAAAGTGAAAGAAAACATCAGAAATTCTTTAAAAACCCCTGCTAAAAGAAAGAGCCTACACTTTAGGATGTTTTTGTTATTTTTGATATGGAATGAAATAGAACATGTACTTTTTTGTTTGTTTGTTTTTTTGAGACAGTATCTCACTATGTAGTTCAGGGTTGCCTTGGGCTCAATTTGTAGCCCAGGTTGGTCTCAAACTTGCAAACAATTCTCCTGCCTCACGCTCCCAAGTGATGGGATTACAGGAGTGTGACACCATACCCAGCTAACATTTACATTTTTAAGAGTCAAAAGAACCACTAAAAGGAAAACTTTTGAAATGTGCTAAAACATGATTGGATTCAATATGTATTGGCTCTGTATTGTTAGAATGTACTGAAATCTTACATAGATTAAAATTGTTTACTTTTGTTATTTTTAATTTATTTTTTAAAATTTTAAAGAAAAAAATAAAACAATTTCAAAACAATAGGAAAATAACAATGGTTAACACATTGCATATTGTTGTCTTTAATTACTCAGAGTACAGGAATTTAATCGTCTAAACAATATTAGCACAAACTTTCCTTTTCAATAAACTAAGAGAAATTGCTAGTATAACTATAACATATATGTATATAGATAGATATTTGGTTTTCTCTTTCTTTTTTCTCCTTTCTCCCATCCTAGTTTCTCTTTCATTTTGAACAATTTCTTCTCATTTTATAATATCTATTGTATATTTTGGATCTTATTTACTCTTCCAGCTTCTTTCACTAGGAAGACAACACATTCACACATGCGAGTCTAGTTTATTTCATTATAAGTATGGTCTCAAGATGCATCCATTTACCTATAAAAGTCTGAAGTTTATTCTTCTTTATGACTTAGTACTCTGTTGTATAAAAGAGCTGTGTCCTTTTTATCCATTCTTTGGTTGATGGGCATTTGGGTTCTTTCCAAGATCTAGCTATTATAAATTGTGCTGCTGTAAACATGGGTACACATATTGTCATGTGGTATGATGTTTTTAATTTTTCTGGAATAATGGCCATAAGAAAAACAGGTCAAATGGAACTTACAATCTTTGTATTTTTGTGGAAGCTGCACACTGATTTCCACTGTGGTTGCATCACTCTACACTCCATCAGTGGAGAAGGCTTTGTTTTCCTCACAGCCCCACCAGCATTTGTTGATTTCTAGATGATAGCCATAGTTGCTGGAGTGAGATGGAATCTCAGTGTTGTTTTAGCTTGCATCTCTCAAATGACCAGTGATGTTGAACATTTTTCATATATTTATTTGCTCTTACCTTTGTTTTTTTTTTTTTGATGACATAATTTGTTCAATTCTCCACAGTATGTAAAGGAGAAAATTTTAGAGCAATTTTATCATTTTTATCTGTAAATGGAGTTATCAATTTCAAGTCAATTTTTTTTACCTCTTATTAAAAGAAATCACTACGCCTCCTCCTAGACTCATGATTCTACTCTTCATCTTCTCAACAAAGCACAGCATTTGCACTTGTTGAGGAATGACTGTGTCTCCAGAATGTATATAATAAAGTCCTAATCTCCAGTACTTAAATGTGACTGTGTTTGGAAACAGGGCTTTAAAAAATTAATTGAGTTAAAATGAGGTAACAAGGGTGAATCCTAGTTCAATATGATTAGTTTCCTTGTAAGAAGAAGTGAACGTGGCTCAGACAGTGGGGAGACTGTGGACCAGTAAAATGATGGCCATCTACAGGCCAACAGTAGAGGCCTGTGAAGTAACCAGACCTGTTGTTATTATGCTGTTGCCTCAAGGACTTCTAACATTCCTGATTGAGAAAAGGAGTTTCTATTTTTTAAGCCCACCCAGGGTACTTTGTTACGCTAGCCCTAGGAAAAACTCATCATCAGATCAGATTCAACAAGTCTATAAATAAAATGATCTCTTTTCCTTTCCCGTACCCTTTCTCTTTTCCTTGCCTTGAGTGAGTCCTAACAGTGGACTGCCCACTTATTAACAACAACATCTTGCCTTCCAAATTTATCAATGAGAGGAAACTACTTCCAGGTTAAATTACCTCCTTTCTTGTAGAAGTCTAGTATTGCTCCCAGGTTGAGTTCAGTCTTCCAACTGAACCTTCAGTTTTCCCTTCTTCTTCATTCCGATTCCTAGCCCCTGAAATAGCTCCACGGCCGTGCAGTCCCTGACCCAGACATCTACCTCATGCTGGCTGGTCCCTCGGGAGACTTGGTTATGGTCTTTCATATCACGCATCCCTTCATTTCTGGGATGAGAGTTATTCTGGTCTCCTAATTGTTTCGCCACTTGTATCTTTCCTTGTCATCTCATTGCCATAGCCTTTTTTCTCTCAAAAATTTAATACATGTTTGAGAATTTTCATCAAAGAGTAAGATTATATATAAGACAAAAATTAGAAAAGCATACAAGCAGAAAATTTGCATCAGAGAAAACTAGTACATATGGCAAAATATTCATGCTCAGAATTATTTTTAAAATGCTGGCTAAAATAGCAAGTGTCATAGACTTATGAAAATAATTTTTCTAGAATACTTATTTTATACTACTTTCTCACTTAAAGACCTATACGGTCTTCTTTTTCTCATATTAGATAAGAATGCCTTTTCCTATTTGTAAAGCACTGTGTCACTTGACCCTCCTTTAGTAATTAAATCAGTTTCTTTCTCTAGTCATTGAGTAGACACTGTGATTTACTCAAGCCATTTCCCTAATCAAATCCCTGCACACACCCAGAGCAATTTCCTTTTTTCCTCTAGAGGAGGACAGGCTATCCCTCTTCATGCTTCCTCAATGTAAATTTTGTATTTCTTTTTTAAAAAATTACCTCCACAAAATGGTCTAAAAGTAATTTAATCCTACAGTGAGCTTCTGTATAATCTTGGATTGCCAAAACTGGAAAAGACTTTCCTGCCATTCAATCTAACCTCCCATCCAGTTGAGGACCCTCTCATAGCATCCTTGGAAGGTCTAGTCTTCCCTCAAACCTGTAGTTGGACCACTACTCTGTGATGCGATATGATTGTAAAGATGAAAGAACAAGGGGCTTTCCCTCATGAAACTTGTACTCTAATTGAGGGCATAGACTAGCACGCCAATTACAAAGCAGAAAAAGTAAAGGGGCAGAAGAAATAAAAGGACAGAAAAATTTATAAGGCAGGATGGTGATGTTGGAAGAAGCTGGCCAAATTTTAGCAATAGGGGTGGTTTAAAGAAAAGGTAATGCTTCCTCTGTGCACTGAGTGATGACCAGTTCACCCAGCAGATATGTCAGAGAAGATATTCTCAAGCAGAGGCAACATGGGTTGGTCTTTCTTTTTCTGAATTTTTCTATTTTATGTTCATCTAATCATGATCATGCCAACCCTCTCTTGGAAATCAACTTTTGTTTAACAAACATCTTGAGATCTTCTAAGCAGAAGTTACTATTTTTAACTTCTACATGCCTTACATTGCTTAGTAGTATCAGGCACAAAATCAGAGCTAGTTTGTGACAATATAAAAGATACTATATATCCATTGTAAGTTAAGATACATATTTTGAGTTTTTAATGGAGTAATAGTGATTATGGTTTGGACCTGTTTGTCCAGCATTTTCAATTCTAGCCGTTTGACTGTGGAATGATGCACAACTAATTGGGATCTGCGGGAATAGTCTCTGTGGTCCTGGACTTTCAGCTTGATTGTTTAAAAAAATACATTAACCACCTACATACTAGTCTACATACTTGCTCATTGGATTACTAGAATAACCCCTTTATCATATTCTAGACATGTTATAATCACTCAGGGCTTAATAAATCACCAGAAAAGAACTCCTTCACTATTAGTAATGCTTATTAAGACCTTTAGGCTCTTGAAAGAGATCTGCTTTTATGCTGTAACTCCACTCATTACATTCTCACTCAAAATATTCAGCTTCTGATGTGACAAGGTAAAATAGAATGGAGTATTTGGAGATAGTTTCTTGCAGAAGAAAAGAGGTATGTAGTATTTTTCTTTGTTAACAGATGTAGCAGATAAAATAGCAAATTATGCTCTAGTTAGCTACTTTCTCTCCTTTTAATAGAACCTTTGATTTTTAGCTAGGCATGTGGTTACCCAAAGTAAATATTCAGTTTCCCACAGTATCTTACAGCTTGTTATAGCAATGTGACTAAATTCGTGGCAATGGATTGGGAAGGAAGGATCTAAGAAGTTGCCGGGTTGAAGTTTTTAAGATGAGAAATACACTACCTGCTTTCACTACCCTCCCACTGACTGCAATGTAGCTATCACAGCTGACTGTCGTTGACCGTGGAGAGGAGGGCAACATACTTGTGGCTAAAGGAACAAGAAGATAGAAGGAATCTATAGCTGGACTGCTTGTGCTTGGAGTTGTTATGTCAAAGAAGAATGCATTGTCCTGTTTAAGCTATGATTCTTTTAGGTCTCTAATTCATCTGCTAATTACTACAATGAAGGATAAAAAAAACCTCATGAGAGTCACACGATGTCAGCTGAGTGAGATGACAAGATAAGAAACATTGTTTAAAAGTATTTAATGACTTTTTTCTCAAATCAGTACAAAAATTTAAATACAAAAATGATTTATCATTATCTCAAATCTATAATGGAAACTCAAACAAGTAACCAGTATGTTCATCATTCATTGTAGTCTGTAAAATATTTGAGGACAGTCACCTATTACAGACGTTCTTTCCCCTGTAGATGTCATATCGCATTATAACTCTTTAAATAACAATTTTGATAATTTGGTCCATTTTACATGGAAAAGTTATAGTTTATTTTGAATTAAATATGGATTACACTACTATTCCTAGACTTTAGAACATGTGGATGTTTCATCTGCTTTTATACGATGTGTTAGTACAATGTGCATCTCTCAAAAGGGAAACAGGTACACATATAATTATTTAAAACTCTTTTTAAATTAAATGGAGTATCATGTAGCTCTGAGATTAGCACCATTGTAGAATACACAGTATCTGGCATAGATTTTGCTCCTCCTCCATCTAAAAGTTAGAAGCATATATATATAGGCAATTGAGCAACAACCAATAAATAAGTTGGAAGATATTTTGAAAAGTGAAACTTGATTTTAATTAAAAAGGTAATTTCTCTTTTGTTGGAAATTAATAGTCCATACATGTACAGATAAATACAGTTTTATGAATCACTTGGCCTTAAATGCTTCCGAGTCATTTCATGCAACTATTTAGCAGGAGAGATCCATGTTACGTCTGTAGTCATCAGACCAAAACCAGAAACCTCAAATCAAATCAAAGGATACCCTGGCCACATAAATACTGCCTGCTTTGAAAATGAAGGTTGAATAGGAGATCTTTTTGATGGGAAAACTGTGTTATATAATCATCAGTGAATAGGAAATCTTGCAGTAATGACCAAGAATTTTTGTGGTAGTAAAAATGAGGTTGTTTTTGTTTTTGTTTTTTGGTACTGCTGGTGTTTAACCCAGGGTCTTGTGCATGCTAAGTAAGAGCTCTACCACTGCTTCTGATTTGACATAGACACATTTCCATGTATTTTAACATAGTATTTATTTGTAGATTTTTACATCTATATCTATATCCTTATTCATCAGTTTTTTTAATAAAAATGTAAAATATTTACTACCATAGCCCCATTGTATTTTCTCAAGAGGCTTATCGTGTCTGTGGTAGGTAACAGTGGACTTGTATTTTGAGCAATGCTATTTAGTATGTGCCTGAGTGAAAAATCCAGAAAATATTTATTTTTTTCGGTCAAAACTTTTTTAGTTGTTGATTTGTGCTGAGTACGGGGTGACATACAAGACACAGGGTATTCTAACCCTTTTATACTTCAGCTGTCTCTTCCAAAAGTTGTTGCTGAAAAAACAAAACAAACCAAAGCATATTTTCCTACAATTCTAGTACCATCACCTGAAACATGATAAATATTTTTAAGTGTCAAATTTCATAATTCTTTCTTAAGTGCAAATTTATTTTCCTATGAATTCTGATTTTTCTCCCAAATAAAAAAATAAAAATAAAAAATAAAAAATGGTTTGGACATTGGGAACTGACTTTAGAAGGTCAGTTTGCAGTCCTACTAATGAAGGAAATTTCAATTCAGAGCTACTAAAAAATATTGATATCTGCATGATTAACACCTCATTCTGGTCATTCATGTGTAGAGACAAAGGAAATTTTAATGCTTTTAAACACAGTATCTGCTATTCAGAACAAATATTCCACAAAAGTAGCAAATTATGCTGTAGAGGAAGGGTTACTTGGTTTTTCTTGTAACTTCCTGATATTTATATGGATAGGATCATGGTAGAAAGAAATTACATAGAAGGAGAAAAAGAAAAAGAAGCACGGGGTGGAGGTGGGGGGAAGAAACCCTTGACGAATGAATTAACCAGTACTCATGTCTTCCAGCTGATTTGTTAGCTCCTTGTGAGCTTAGGCCATACTCTCACGTGTCAGTGCTCTCTGCACGGAGTGGGTGCTGAGTACATATATGTTGGTTGACTGGTTCATCAGTTCTTTCAGAGAGCCCCTGACACAGTTTTGACTCTTACTGATAAAAGACAGCCTCTAACAGAAGAGAAATATCCTTTGGACTAAACACTACCAATTTTTCCATGGTCCCCAATCTCCTACTGAGACAGTAACATTACAAATACCCTGCCCCTGCCACACATACTTCCCATGGCAAAACATCTGCACCGATGGAGAGAAAATTATACAAGTAAAAACAGTATGTCATTGTTGACATTTCTTTAAGGCAAATTTATAAATACTTTAAAAGAAACAATATGAGTGGGTGATTTTCATTAGCTATGATCTTTCATACTGACATATTTTGACTGATCTGAATAAGAAGATTATCATGGAAGCACATAACATACAACAGCTAACATGATTCCAGTGGGTACAACATAAGTGTCAGTACTTGATATATAAATCTGTCTCATCATTTTCAATTACAAGCTGCTGTGCCGAGTATTAAACATGCATCTTAGTTTTTATTTGTACAAGATGATCCAAATTTTCACTTAAATATAACTTTCCAACTATATAAATGTTTTGAAGCAATTGTGTTTTTTCATTTGTATTTTTGATGTCTTGTTTTTTCTTCTATTAAATCTCTTTCTTTTCATTTTTTACATGGGATACAATAAATATCCTGAAAAGGAGGAATGGACATACTGCCCAGCATACAGTCCCGCGGCCTGTTCTGAGGGCATCTGGAGAAACACCCTGTCTCCGGGCCTGAGCAGCAGCACGGCACTCCCAGATGCCTGGTCCAGAAAGCCCTTTTTGTATTCATCATATGTGTACATCATAGGCTCATTGTTCTTGAAGAGAGCAACCCACACGTTGCCGCCCTTGCAGTGAACATGATAAGCAAAGTAGTAGACGCCAGGGACCTCACAGGTGAAGATGCCCGTCTGTGGATTGTAGTTCTGTCTGCCGTTATAGAGCAGCTTGTCAAACTTCACTGGGGCCCCCACCGGCGGGAAGGGTGCTGTCAGCTCTGCAGTAAATGCAGGCATCTCGTAGGCTGGCCCTCCATTCTTGCCTTTTTTAGCTCCATAGGCATGGGGGGGTTTCACACCATCAATTCCTACCCCCATATCTGGCAGATATTCACCCTGGGGAGGTGGTGTAGGAGGCATCATAGCTGGGGGACCAGGTGGTCCTGGAGGTCCTGGGGGCCCTGGAAGGCCAGGCTGGCCTTGAGGACCAAGGGCACCGGGCTTCCCTGGGGGCCCATGAAGCCCTGCAACTCCAGGCTTTCCAATACCAGGGAATCCAGGGGGTCCTGGGAGCCCTGGTTCCCCTTTCGGGCCTGGAATTCCAGGTGGCCCAATGGGGCCACTAGGGCCTACTATTCCCGGGATACCTGGAGGTCCCTGGAGACCCTGATCTCCTGGGATACCTGGTTCTCCCTTGGGTCCAAGCAGCCCTGGAACACCAGGGAGCCCTGGCAATCCTTTGAGGCCAATTTCTCCCTTAGGCCCTATGGGACCTGGCAAACCTCTCATGCCTGGAGGCCCTACTTCACCAAGGAAACCTGGCTTTCCTGGGAATCCTTGAAGCCCTGGCTCACCCTTAGGTCCTGGTGGACCTTGAGGTCCTACAATCCCACCTTCTCCTTTGGGCCCAGGAAAACCAATAGCACCTGGAGGGCCCATAGGGCCAGGGATTCCAGGCAGACCTGGCTCTCCTGGTGGACCCCCTATTCCAGGGGCACCTACTGGCCCTTTCTCCCCTCTGGGTCCAAGAGCCCCAGGAATACCTGCCATACCCCTGTCACCTTTGGGCCCTGGAAAACCTGGTTTCCCAACTCCTGGAAGGCCTGGGGGTCCTGGCACCCCTGGCAATCCTTGCTCCCCTTTGCCACCTGGAAATCCTGGCTGACCAGGGATTCCATCCTGTCCTGGTTTTCCAAGTCCAGGCATCCCAGGGGGTCCTTGAACACCTGGCACCCCTATAGGTCCTTGTGGGCCAGGTTCCCCTGGAGGCCCTGGCTTCCCTAGGGGTCCTTGGGGCCCAGGGAAGCCCGTGACTCCTGGTTTTCCCACTCCTGGTAGTCCAACAGGGCCAGGAGGGCCATGCATTCCTGGAGGGCCCTTCAGACCTGGCAAGCCTGGCATCCCAAAGCCCTTCTCTCCTTTAGGTCCCTGGAGGCCTGGAGGTCCTGGTGGTCCTTTGGGTCCTCGATCACCCTTTGCACCTGGCTGTCCTGGTAATCCTGGTCCACCAGGCTTCCCAATGCCAGGAAGTCCATGAGGCCCTGGAGGTCCTTGTGGTCCTGGAATCCCCATAGGCCCAATTTCCCCTTTGGGTCCAATTTCACCTTTTGCCCCGGGCATTCCCATGGCTCCAGGCTTCCCTGGCATTCCAGGCATACCTGGCTTTCCAACTCCTGGATAGCCTTGTGGCCCTGGTTTTCCTTTGATTCCTGGTATCCCATGACCTGGTAAACCAGGGGGTCCAGGTGGGCCTCTTGGGCCAGGTTCTCCACGGGGACCTTGTTCTCCTCGTAAACTGGCTAATGGTATTTCTATAGGAAAGGAGAGGGGGAGGCGGACGGAGAGCGAGAGAGAGGGAGAGAAAGAGAGAGAGAGGGATTGATTTTGAATATTCATTCATAAACAATGAAATCATTATTTAATTCTGACACATTTGCCTTTTACTGAAGAAAAAGACTAGAGATAATACATTCATCTTCTAGGACTCTGTGATGTTGGTACTTAAAGGAAAACAAAGCTCCTAATTTCTTTGATGTACTTGAGATATTATTTTAAGAAATAGTATGTGTGCTGTGTATATTATCATTAGTTAAAAAATGCTAAAACATAAGAAACATTTTTCCCAGTACAAAATGTGGAAATACTATGGTATGTTCTTGATAGAGAATTTGTAAAGTTCAAAAATGTGTAAGAAAAAATTTAAGTTGCCTTAGAGATACATCCTTGACAAAATATGATGAATGTTTGCATTTTCAAAGAATTTATTACAGTAAGACACATTTCCATTAATCCTCCTCAGAATGCTCTGCCTCTGCTTTGAATATATTTCTATTATTCTTGTGACTTCTTAAAGTGGTTTTGAAGTCTCTCTTGTGAGCATCTTTATGAAGTATGATTAAAAACACAATGAATGCTGTTGCTGAAAGCTATCTAAAAGAAACATAATGTGTCTCATCTAACTTACTCATTGGATCTGGTCTAGATCTTTCCCAAGTCAAAATAACCATGAAATGTAAATGTTTTGAATTTATTTAGAACACCTGCTTCAGACACTGAAACAGCTATGACTGTGTGGCTAGCCATTCATGAGACAGAACTTCCAGAGCTGCTTCAGAAAGTGCCCAAAAAGGGATGTCCTCAAAGAAAGTAGGAATATTTGCTTTTGACGGGAATTAATGATAATGTGTCTTTTGCTGCAATATATTTTAAAAATTGAAATACCGTATTTTGGGATCATACCACATATTGTGTTTTCAACTCATTTTTAGGTGTTTGTGTGTGTGTGTGTGTGTGTGTGTGTGCATGTGCACACATATGTGCATGTGTGTGTCTGTAATTTAAACAATGGTAGTGTCATTCTTTGCTTTTATTTTTTCTATTAGTTTTCTGCTTAAGTTAGATTTTTCATGACCTTATGTTTTTGGTTTTTATTTAAAAAATGTATTATAAATATAGTTGTATATATATTTGTGGATTATAAGTTGTTACTATAACTTATGAATACAATATGGAATAATAAAATGAAGATAATTAACATACCAATTATGGCAAATATTTGTGGTAACAACATTTGAAATTTGCCCTCAACAGCTTTGAAATATATAATACACTATTACTAACTCTACTTACCACATTGTGCAATATCTCTAAAAGAAAATCCCCACACCAAAACGTTTACTCCTCCAGTGTAACTGAAGCTTTATATCCTTTGACTATAACCTCTCAGTCTCTTGTAGCTGCTAATCTGCTTTCATTCTGAGTTTGATTGCTTAGACTACACATATAATGGGAGAAAACGTGGTATTCGTCTTTATGTACTAGGCTTATTTTTTAATGTAAGAATTTAGGGCTAAATAACATTTTCTTATGTCCTAAAATACACTGTGATGTGGTTTATGATAGTCATTCCTATGTAGACTCCAAAAAGAAGGGAAGTATTACTTTGTATGTGGTTCAATAATATCTTTCCACATCTGTCCTTGACAGTCAATAGATTTGTTTAATTTCTCTAATATACTGTGGGATTCCCCAAGCCTCAAATATTAATTCTTTATAGCTTATTTATAATGTGTAAAATTTTTTTAACATGTGAGGCAGGTAAGCTATTTTAAGATGACAAGCAGTATGGATAAAAAAGAGAACTTAGTTTAGGAGGAGGAAGCTCTGTTTATCTTTTTGGCCTTGGCATGAGATCTTGACTGGGTCTCTTAAGCCATCAGCATCTCTGCTTGTCTGTCTGTATAGCAAGAATACTAAAGACACACTACTAGATCAGAAAATATATATAAATGGTATTATGTATTCTTGAATTGTTACTGAACTACAAAGCACATGTTATATTATGGTGTGTCTTGTAGATAAACACATCTCTGGATCTCTGTACTACTCGTGATAATGGGTTACATGAAGAAATGAAATATGAAGTCCTAAAGTCTTATGTTAACCAATAGTAGCAGCTTAATCCTGACAACTGTATTCTTTGCCAAATTCCTATCAGGGAACAAAACAGAATTGTAGAGCTTGTACTTTCAGATAGTACCCAAGTAGGCAAAAGCTAAGCAGACCATCCAAAAAAGGAAAGAAAAAAAATGCCAAGGTAATCTCTTACGTGGCATACCACCTCTTAAAGACAGTAAAGTTGAGAATACACCTGTTATGCTTATTGTAGTATGGTTAAGGTATGTTACCTATAAACAGTGAATTGTTTAGTTACTATATTAAGGGAATATCTGGGAAAGGACTACATCTTATTCCTCTGGAATTCTGAAGTCTAGCACAATACCTGAAGCATACTTTGTTGTGACTGAGAATTTGTTGAATGGGAATTGTAGCAACTCAGCTCCTATGATGCTTTACTGTTTGCTCAGCACTATTAACCTTAGTGTCCTTGATTCAACAGTAATACTGTAAACATGCCAAAAAAAAAAAAAAGGCTCACGAGAGGTCAAATGAACAGATCTCTCTCATTTCTGGGATCCAGGCATCTAGATCTTTAAGTGGCAAATCCAGTAGTTCTTTTTTGGGGAGTGGGTGGGGTTACTGGAAATTTAACTCAAGACTTTGCACTTGCCAGGTTGGCTCTGTGCTGCTGAACTCTATCTCTGGCCCCACCAGTAGCTTGATAGAGGTGGAACTTCCTAACACTGTGGAATTTAAGATGAGCTCCACTTCCGCAAAGATGATTGCTACTCTGATTTAGCTATTTTTCCTATAAATGCTATGGTTTTCAAACCTGTAGATAAACCAACTGAATTTATAAGAAAAATTTTTATAAAACTTATAAGAATATTTCAATGATAAGTATTTTGTAGATGTTAAGTAACTAGGCTTAAAAAATAATGGGCAAGATTTTCAGATGTCAGCTCCAGATGCAGTCTGTGCTGTTTTGTTTTTTTCTGTCCATTTTTGATTGACATGTATAGCTTAATAAGAGCAGTATTTAAAAACATTTGGACTTACCTAACACCTAATTTGTGAAGTTATTTTCGTAACTTTTTCTTTATGTTAATGTTTTCCTAAATTCAAGACTGATTTGTCATTGCATTTTTCTTCTTTTTCTCTTTTCACGGCTTTATTTCCTAGCAAATGGCCCACAGTGTGATACAAAAGTAGATTTTCACTAGATTGCTACTAAATTTTGAATAAATAAATAATAAAACAATAAACTACTTGTGATTAAATGTTTAGATTTGTTCTATGCTATACAAAATATAAAGTTAGAATATCTCTGTTTTTCTTTTATCTTTCTCTTTCATTCTTTCTGGTGCTGAGGATTGACCATGTATTTTTCTCTAAGATTAGAACATTGCAAGGATAGAGTTTAAAGTAAGCATTTGATAATCATCAATAACAAATTCTAAAAAACAATTTTCTAAAATGAGCTTTTCCTTCCATTTCCATAATTCGGGAGGCTGGAAAACTATTTTATAACAATATTGTATGTATGATATTACCTTTGCCTTTCTTGGGTACTGTTTCCTTGCCCATCCTTGGCACTGGTTGAACCTCTTTCATATATTGGGGTAAGTGTGGATACTCTTTGCCATATTGCATGTGAGGCAGTTCTTTGCCCATGGCAAGGCCATCTTTGCCCAGAGGCATATGAGGTACTTGCTGGCCCAGAGGCTGGTATTGTGGAATTTGCGGTGGCATCTGAGGAGGAATCTGAGGTGGCAGCGGCTTGATCCCATAGTAGGCACCAGCCTGAATAAACCTGATGGAACTCAGGGAAATGGTGAGTAGCACTCCAAGCAGCTGCAGAGGACCAGGTGGTACAGCCATCACCTGTGGAGGAAGGAATGCGCCAAAACCGTGAGAACCTGTAGGCCAAGGCACTGGTGTTACCTTAGAGACAGTAGGGAGGTGAAGGAGATAATAGTCTTTATCACTGGAACTTTATCAGTGGAAGGTAAATGAAATAAAGATCTACCTTTTCATAGAACAGAAAAGAGAAAACCAACAAAAATTAAACAACTGAAAGAGCTACCTGTCAAATGAAGGTAATTGGTGGCAAAACAGGCTATGGCAGAGACTGGTAGTTGTCTCCAAGATTCAGTTTTGCCTATCTTCCATAGTACTGGAAGACCTAATTTTCAACTGGGAATTGGACAGCCTAGAGTGGAGACATTTAATTAGGTGGTTATGTAACGAAGTCTTGGTGAACTGATGTAGTTGTGGATGCAACTTCCAAGAAGGAGCATAATGGGGGAAAGGGCATGTTCTTTCCCTTCATCCATCTTGTTGCTTAGAATAGTGATATATTGCTGGGAAACGGAAATTGGACCATGAAGTAAAAGCTATGTGTAGACAGTAGAGTGGCAAGCTAGGAGAAACCTCAGACCTTGTTTAATATGGAGGCCCTGGTCTGTAATAATCCTTAAATTTGCAACTTGTTCACTTAGAAAGGAAATTTTTGTCTTTTTCTGTTTGTTTGATTGGGTTTTGTTTTTTGAGACAGGATCATGCTGTGCAGTTCAGGCTGGGCTTGGCTTACTGTGTAGCCTAGGCTGGCTTCACATTCAAGGCAGCTCTCTTGCCTCAGCCTCCCAAGTGCTGGGATTACAGGTGTGTGTACCACACCCAGCAGTTTTGTCTTCTTTAGTCCACTTTTATTTTGGGTGTTTCACATTTGCAAAAAGCCAAATCCCAGCAAACAGTGCCATAGTGTTTGTTACTAAGTATCAAAATTCTCTTCTGAATAGATATAATCAAATACTTATAGGCTTTATGCCAGGGTTAGAGATTTTTCATCTGCCCATTGTGTTTTGCATGCTTTGATGTCATAAGTGAATACAAAGTAACATTTTAAATTAACACTAAAAAACCCACAGAAGTCTGTCTGACTTGAAGAGAAGGCACTCCATATAATAGTCCCAAAATGTCATTTTAAAATCACTATCATAATTACGCACATTTCTCTATTTACATACCATGAAGTAATTAGTTTAGAATTTGGATAATTGGACTCTGAGCCTGTTAAGTTTATATTTGGACTATTTTTTAAATAAAAGCTATTTACAATACAAATTTATCATATAAGGTAGTGCGAATTTCACAAAAATAAACTTGAATAACAGGCTTCTCAGATTAGCAGTTCAAAGAATAAATAAATATAAATTAAGTTTATCTGTTTATAATAGCCAGCTGGAGACCTCTGAGAGCAGTGGTGGCAAACTTGTGGTCTGCCAGCAGCAGCAGGCTGTTTGTCTCCTTCAAAATTCTAAAAGGTTCACCATCTCTGGGAGACCAAATAGCTCCGGGAAATGCAGATCAGGCAAATGCACAGCAGAGGGCACCTGTGGCACACATCGAAGTTCCCAGTTCTCTACCCTCTGCCCTGCTTCCACCCGTCACCCAGGCTGGCCCTGTGCTCTCTGTACTTTCACATCTTATTAAGAGATTTAATGAAAGTCAGCATCGTAGTGGAGTGCATGTATCACACACCTGCGGTGGAGGTGGTATAAAGAGAAGAGACAAGTTTCTCACAATCTTTAACGTATTTTCTAGAACACTTTGAAAACACTTCTACTCATAAGTTATTTAATTTCCATTTTCATGGGAATTTGTTTTCTTTACTTCTGCTTTCATTCTGGATCATAGTTTTCTGCTTCTTAGAAAATGTACATTGAGTTTGTGACATTGTATTGAAGGTTAATGCCAAGAGTGTGAATAGGCTACCGAAGGATTCTTAATAAAAAAAATCTAAGAAAATATTTAATGTGAATCCCTACCACATTCTATTTTTTCTAAGTATACTAAGTAATCATTTTTTTTCTCCTTCAGGGAAGAAATGAAGAAATATTTGTCAGCAAAAATGACTTATAAAAGTTTTTCTATTTTATAAATCAGAACAGTCTCATGAACTATTTATTTCAAGAGTATTTTGAATAATATATGTAGTAGTAAAGTGGAAGCAATAGAAAGTCGTTACATTATTTTCTGTCTCTCTAAGAATGATTGTTATACACCATTAGGAAAAAACAACGGAATTAATACTGATTTATTAACTGTTTTTTTTTTTTGTCTTTTTCATTTTTATCAGTACTGGGGATCGAACTCATGACCGCCTGCTTGCAAGGCAGGTGCTTATGCCGCTGAGCTATATCCCCAGCCCCAATACTGATTTATTAATAGTCAAATTTATTTTATGTGGAAAAAGAACATCTTCCATAAGTACTCAATTTTTTAAAAATTCTTACCAGAAAAAAACACTAGGCCCACCCATGAATTACAAAGATGAGGATAATATCATCAGTGAACTTACCTTCAAGGCATTTATTCCATTTCAGTAGAGGAGGCAGATGTGTACATTATTAATGATTAGCAAAAAACATTCAGAAGAATCTAAATCTCTCTCTTACTGTGTCCTTTAAAATTCCTCTTCTTTAAAGTATCATTTTGTTATTGTTTCTGTATATTTTCCAAAAGTTAGTCTATGCATATACAATATTGCATGTATCTTTAAAATACAAGTTAGCTGATATTGTATGTTTACATTTGATCTCATCCCAAAGTCTGACAAGGATATTATATATCTTTCTTATTTTCACTCTAAGATCAGTAGTTAGAATTACTTATTGTCAGACTGTATATATCTAAACAAATTCTTGCTAAAATAGGATTTAAATGCTGTCCTTTAAATCCTGTTCTGCTCTAACATTCAGTGTCTCTAAGGTAATCCTTGGAGGTAATCCCTGGAGATTAAAGTGTTAATCCTTACAGAAATATGTGGTAGTACTTGATAATGCATAAACTTGGACTTAACAGTGTCATTCCTTTGAGAATGAAAGAATTCAATTAGTGACCCCAAAACTTGTGAAAACTGTAGTAATAAGCTGGCATGCTTGGCCCTTCAGTGTAGTGGATGTATTGGATTATACTTAATATATTTAAATCTGGACAATCTAGTGAAATACTGGAAAACTGGAAAGAGGCAAAATGCTTGGAAGATCCTCTGAATACCAAAGACTCAGTGGGATCCTGCTTTCCTACCATTATTTCCTCTCAGAGGCTTGGCCACTTCCTTCTCCAAAACCACCTCCTAAGGTCTGCCATCTGCCATTTTTTTCTGGCTCTTTATTTAAATAAACTTTGTTCAGTTTTAACTTGAATGTTTATGTGGGGTCCCTGGTTAGAATTTACTGCTTGATTTATCCCAACTAATTTCCCTCGTGCCCCTGAGGATAGTTTTGGTGGTCAAAGTGGTATAGTGGTTCTCTCAAATCACTCAGAACATCAGATTTGTATAACATTATACAAACACCTGGCGGGGAACAAAGAACCTTAGGATTCTTGCTGGGAGGAAATGGTGGTAGTGGGTTTTCTTACCACTCTTCTTTTGCTGGGGAAGTGGAACATAATATTGTGAGTTCTTGATTTCTGTTTCTTTGATAACTAGTGTGTGTGTGTGTGTGTGTGTGTGAACATAATGATAAGCATATCAAATATGTTGACACTGGATCTTTGCTAGCCAGGCTGGCTTTGTAACGAGTGTCATGTCATATGGAAAGCACATTATAGCAGTGAAAAGACTTGTATTGGACTTTTAGCTCTGCTATAACCTTGGCAAGTCCCTTATATCACTGAGCCTCAGTTCCTTCACCTACAAAATAGAATGATAATCTCTGTTTAGCACTGAGAGATACTCAAGGGTACAAACGATAGTATGAATTCTTTGTGAGCTGAACCGTGCTATTCAAATGTAAGTTATTAATGGAGTACAACCAAAAAGACAAATCAAAACCAACTGAAAAGTCAAAGACTTTCAAAAAAGGATATGAGCCAAAGTAAATGTGAAGTTAACTGCAATAAAGATAAACCCAACATGAATAAAACAATAATGGCTATTAAAATGTACAATTAAAAATGGCAAAAAAAAGCTCCAACTGAACCAAGGTCATCATTCATTCTGGCATCAGGATTGCCAATCCTAATTATTTTGACTAGCCCTAAATTGTTCCCTACATTTGGGCAGAGCAGCAGTGAGTTTTACTTTTCTCATGTGACCTGTAATGTATACAGCAGAATAATGTGATATATATTATTTTAGAAGCTCCTAAGCAGTCTATTTGTATATTTATGTTCATGAGATTTTTGGCTTGCTATGCAAAAGAATTTTTAAATATTTAAACCTCAATCCTTGCCCTGAATTCAACTTTCTTTCACACAGAGCTAATGCAATCTTTTTCTCTCTCTTTCTCTGTCTCTGTCTCTTTGTTTGTCTGTCTGTCTGTCTGTCTGTCTGTCTGTCTGTCTGTCTCTTTCTCTCTCTGTTGTGTGGTGAAGACAAACCTCTCCCGAAGGAGGAAAATCAGGCAGAATCTTCCTCTAACATACATCAGAACTGCTTTTTTGGTTTTCCCATGCCCCTCAAAATTCTCTTTTGATTACATTACTCACAAAAATTATTACATTATCTGTAAATACATGTTGAACAGCTATAAATTGTTAAGAATTTTCTGGGTATGAGATACAGTGATCAGTTAGAAAGATGAGGTCTTAACTTGTTGAGCTCACGTTCTAGAATGAGGAGACAGATAATGTTAAATATATTTCATAATTTAAATCTGAGCACTATGAAGAAAACAAAGCAGGGATCTTTGTCAGGCTGCTATAATAAAAGTACCATAGAATGAATATTAGTTTGTCATAACTTCTATAAGGAAGTACTGTATCTCAGACTGGGTGGCTTAAACAACAGAAAGTTATTGCTTACAGTTCTGGAGGCTGGAGAGTCCAGAGTAAGATGCCAGAAGACTGAGTGTGGGGTGAGGGCCCATTTTATC